CACCCCACCCCCAAAGCTGTTTGGCCCTGCCAGAATGTTTAAGTACTCTGGGATGGTGTGAGAATTGGTTTAGGGCCTGGAGGCTGTACTTTGAACGAGCACCCTATGGGGGTCTGACACCCTGGTCCCTCACTTTGAGAAGCTCTGGGATAGGATTCCTGAGATGGATAGAGGCAGAAGGAGCGTCCCCACAGGCTGCAGGGTGAGTGCTCCATGCAGGCCCTCGCGGGGTCCCTCCCCTCACCCCTCCCTTACCCAGTCACTGGAGCACACCCTCAGATGACCGCCCCCTCCAGTTTCAGTTAGCGACTCACCCCCCCTGTGCTGAGCATGCACTCTTTTGATACACTCTGGCTCTTCTCAAGATTAGACTCTTCTCCTTTTTTCCTTTTTTCTTTCAATTATAACATTATAGCCACACAATAGCCCTCTCTGCTCCAACAGAAAAGTCATTTATACCCAAGGGACTACTGTCTTTTGTGTATTCTTTCAGTTACTACTCGAGCATTATATAACACACACTGAGGGATCTGTGTGCCAGATGCTAGACTAAGCCTTCCATGAAGCCAGCATTACAGGTCCACAAGCCCCTGAGTCCAGGTGTGTTTCCTGGACTAAATGTCTAAATTCTAAAATGTCTCCAATTTTAGAAAGCTAATAGGATGCATGTAACATATGTAACGGGCTTCCATCATAGCTCAGTTGGTAAAAAATCTTACCTGCAATGCAGGAGACCCAGGTTCAATCCCAGGGTTGGGAAGATTCCCTGGAGAAGGAAATATCAACCCACTCTAGTATTCTTGCCTGGAGAATTCCATGGCCAGAGGAGCCTGGTGGGCTACAGTCCATAGGGTCGCAAGAGTCGGACACAACTTAGCAACTAAACCAACCAACCAACCAACATATGTAACACCACCCATTCATTCATCTGGGGCATCATCTCATAATCAAATGCATTAGTATTTCTACACGAATATTTACACTTAGAAGGAAAAATAGGCTGGGTCGGATTTTTCTTCTAAATGAGTATTGCATGTAGACACCCAGTTGTCCCAGCACCATTTATTGAAAAAACTATTTCTTTCCTACTGAATTCTTTTGGCACCCTTGTCAAAATCAATCAACTCTAAGCGTGAGGGTTTATTTCTGAACTCTCAATTCTATTCCATTGATCTTAATGTCCATTCTTACATGAAGAGGGTGGGGCGTTTTCAGTAATGAGTCATTTTCCTCTTGCTACTCCCGAGATTTTCCCCTCATGTTTGGTTTTCAGCACTTTTGATACTGTGTTTGCGTATCTGCATTTATCCTACTTGAAGTTCATTGAGCTTCTTGGTTATTATTTTTACAATCATATTTGGGAAGTTTTAATCCATATTTTTCTAGCTCCTTCTCTTCTTTGGTGTACCTATCATGCATATGTTGGTTCACTTTGTTGTTCAGTCACCAAGTTGTGTCTGACTCTTAGAGACCCCATGAACTGCAGCACATCAGGCTTCCCTGTTCTTCACTGTCTTCACATCAAAGTGATGTCCATTGAGTTGGTGGTGCTATCCAACCATCTCATCCTCTGCCGCCCCCTTCTCCTCCTGCCCTGGATCTTTACCAGCATCAGCGTCTTTTCCAGTAAGTCGGTTCTTCGCATCAGGTGGCCAAAGTATTGGAGCTTCAGCTTCAGCACCAGTCCTTCCAATGAATATTCAGTGTTGATTTCCTTTAGGATTGACTGGTTTGATCTTCTTGTAGTCCACGGGACTCTCGAGAATCTTCTCCAGTACCACAGTTCAAAAGCATCAGTTCTTTAGCACTTAGCCTTCTTTATGGTCTAACTCTCACATCCGAACATGACTACTGGAAAAACCATAGCTTTGACTATATGGACCTTTGCTGGCAAAGTGATACCTCTGCTTTTTAATAAGCTGTCTAGGTTTGTCATAGCTTTTCTTCACTTAATGCTATCCTATATTTCTCTGCAGCTTGTTTCTCTTTTCTTCATCTGGTCTTCAGATTGCATAATTTCTATCACTCTTCAAGTTCACTAATTATTTCTTCTGCCAGCTCAAATCTACTTTCAAACCCCTTAGGTGATTTTTTTCATTTCATTTACATTGTACTTTTCCAATTCTGCATTTGCTTCTTTTATAATTTCTATCTCATTATTGATATTCTCTACTTAGTTGAGATGTTGTCATCATGTTTACTTCAAGTGTGGCTTCCTTTAGTTCTCTGCATATTATTCATAGTGGCTTGCTTCATTGATTATTCTAAAGCATGGATAACAACAAACTGGAAACTTCTTAAAGAGATGGGAATACCAGACCATCTCACCTGACTTCTGAGGAACCTGTATGGAGGTCAAGAAGCAACAGTTAGAATCCAGCATGGAACAACAGACTAGTTCAAAAGGAAAGAAATACCTTAAGGCTATATATTGTCATCCTGCTTATTTAACTTATATGCAGAGTACATCATGTGAAATGCTGGGGTGGATGAAGCACAAACTGGAATCAAGATTGCTGGGAGAAATATCAATAACCTCAGATATGCAGATGATACCACCCTGACGGCAGAAAATGAAGAGGAAGTAAAGAGCATCTTGATGAGAAAGAGGAGAGTGAAAAAGCTAATTTAAAACTCAACATTCAGAAACTAAGATGGCATCCAGTCGCATCACTTCATGGCAAATAGATGGGGAGACAATGGAAACAGTGACAGACTTTATTTTCTTGGGCTCCAAAATCACTGCAGATGGTGACTTCAGCCATGAAATTAATAGACGCTCCTTGGAAGAAAAGCTATGACCAACCTAGACAGCATATTAAAAAGCAGAGACATTACTTTGCCAACAAAGGTCCATATAGTCGAAGTCACGCTTTTTCCAGTAGTCCTGTATGATTGTGAGAGTTGGACCATAAAGCTGAGTGCCGAAGAATTGATGCTTATGAACTGTGGTGCTGGAGAAGACTCTTGAGAGTCCCTTGGACTGCAAGGAGATCAAACTAGTCAATCCTAAAGGAAATCAACCCTGAATATTCATGGAAAGGACTGATGCTGAAGCTGAAACTCCAATACTTTGGCCACCTGATGCGAAGAGCTAACTCATTAGAGAAGACCCTGATGCTGGGAAAGATTGAGGGCAAGAGGAGAAGGGGATAACAGAGGAAGAGATGGTTGGATGACATCAGTTTGAGGAGGCTCTGGGAGATGGTGAAGGACAGAGACCTGGTGTGCTGCAGTCCAGGGGCTCGCAAAGAGTCAGACACAACTGAACAACAACTGTGAAGTCTGTCTGTTAAAGATATCTGCTGTATTTTTTTCCTGTGTATGGGTCACACTCTCCTATGTGTTTACCTATTTGTAATTTGTTGTTGAAAACTGGACATTTTAGATTGGTTCCTCACTCTGCACCTGGGGGCTTGGGATTATTTGCTTGTTTGTTTAGTGACCAGTTGGACCACAACAGTGATGTCTCTTTCCTCTGCAATGTGGAGCCTTTGACTTTGCTCCTCAGAGGCCCTGGCCTTGGGCCTGTGCACAGTCACCCTGGGACACTAATGGTTTTAGGGGTGCTCTGTCTCTTCCCTGATCATAGACAGCTGTCAGGCCCTAGCAGTTGCTGGCTGATTGCTCTATTGTTTTTGACAATGCCCTGGAGCATCAATTGCACCACAGACTGATCCAATCAAATTTGGACTTTAAAGGGGTATCTTTGGAGTTCCAGACTTAAGGTTTGTTCTGACCCCAGGAAGCCTCATCTTAGCTATGTCTTTCCCCAGTTCTCTCTGGTACACTAGCTGCCCTGTGGTTCAGCCAATAGCACTAATGGAAGTACCAGCCTCTTGCTAATTGCTTATTGGCAAAGCCTCCATTGATTTTGAGAGTACCTTTAGGCTTGAACTTCTCATACTGTGTTACTAGTCAGGTCAGTTTTTTGCAGAGAGAACTTTGGAGCTCTCTGTTTCCTGACCTGCCTCTCCCCTGGGCAGAATCTCTGAGCTGGGGGCACGGACAGTGCAGCCTGTCTCTGAATATCACCGCTGCCTGAGAGTGGAGGCAGTAGCCCCTGGCCTCCTTGGCTGGCCTTTGCTAGTGTGGCATCTTCTCCTGAGGAATGAGCTGGGACTTGAACTACTGGGCTCCTGTATTGCAGCTTCCTGCAGCTCAGTTAGAGCTCCTGCCCCATGAGTGGCTGGTGAAAGAAGGGAGCCTGTTTCTCTGCTACACTCAGTGGAAGCTTAGTCTCTGCCACATGGAGCTGTAAAGAAGCCCCAGTAACTGAGTTTTAGCAGCTCAACTACGAACAAGTAAGGAAGAAAGACATTTGGAATTCAGACTTTCTTTTTTCCTTTGGAATCGGAGATAAGGGGTAGTGGGCCTGTGTTAATATTTCTAACTTACAGTCTCGGAAGAGATTGGACTTTTTTTTGTAAGTTTTAATTTAATTTTATTTATTTATTTTTTTTATGTTTCTGGCCATGCCCCAGGAGCCTGGCAGGCTACAGTCCATACGATGGCAAGGGGTCGGACACAACTGACTGACTAAGCACAGCACAGTACATGTGGCTTGGGAGATGTTAGTTCCCTGACCAGGGATTGGACCCTGGGCCAGGGCGGTGAAAGTGTCAAGTCCCAACCACAGTTCTGCCAGGGAATTCCCAAAGGTTGGATATTTTAAGTCTAAACCAGGCAGGGCTGTGCACGCAGGTGGTCTGGCTTCAGAACCTGCCTTGGTTAACCTCTGTCGGACTGTGGGAGCCTCTGGGACAGGACGCTGTGGTTTTCATTTTCAGTTTGTGTTTTTCTACCCTGGGGGACGTGGCAACGCATTCATTTGTATACCTTTTCCTGCAGGTGTTCAAGGTGCCGCGGCCTCCATGCCTAAAGCGGAGCGTGTGTGTGGTGTCGATGCAGCTGTCTTCTGCAGCCTCTTTGGGGCCACAGGACCAAGCGCCATTTGAGTGACACACTGCACTCTGCTCCCGGGGGTGCCTGTGCTGGACATGCTCATGCCCGCCGAGGGCACCCCGCCACCCCTGGGTGGCACTCCTGTCCCAGTCCCAGCCTACTTCCGCCATGCAGAGCCTGGCTTCTCCCTCAAGAGGCCCAGGGGGCTCAGTCGGAGCCTCCCGCCCCGGCCCCCTGCCAAGGGCAGCATCCCTGTCAGCCGCCTCTTCCCTCCTCGGACCCCAGGCTGGCATCAGCCCCACGCCCGGCGGGTGTCATTCCGGGACCAGGCCTCCGAGCCCCTGCAGAGCCCCGGGTATGATCCAAGTCGACCGGAGTCGTTCTTCCAGCAGAGTTTCCACAGGCTCGGCCGCCTGGGCCACGGCTCTTATGGGGAGGTCTTCAAGGTGAGTTGGTGACAGATCCGTTTAGGTCTCTTTGGGGTCCCTCCCCCCCATCCAGGGTGGGATGGTATCCAGGGAGCCTGCTCCCCACCTCTCCCCTGACGGCCCCCCTCAAAGGCTGGCAGGCTCCCCTCAGTGCTGGACTTGGCTGCTTTCTCATACCCCCCTACACAGGCCCCTCTGAGGCCCCTCAGTACACACTCTCCCTTTGTCCAGAGCCTGGCATGCCTTGCAGTGGCTCCTGCCTGCCATCTCTTCCTGCCCGGAGCCTGCCGTCTGGGGGTCTTGGCAGCTCCACCTGGCCCCTGAGCCAGAACCACCCCCCCCCCCCCCGCCATCTCCCTCCAGCCTCAAGCATTCAGGCAACTCCTCCATGCCACCTTTTGTTCCTTAAAATATTTTCCAATCATGTATATTTCCTTCAAAATGTAGTTTTCCTTACACAAGTACTACACGAAGACAATTTTGTTAAAAAGTACAAACAGAAGCCCCAAGGTCAGCTCTCCATTCTGGAGGAAACCAAGATGATTGTCAGGTGGGGGTCTTCTTTCTAGATTTTTCTCTGGAGTTGACCACATAGAGACGAAGCCATTTCATAGGCTGCATGCAGACCACACCGCCTTGCTATTCTCTAGGCAGCTTCTTCATTTAACACATCCTCCTGGGCCAGTATTTAGAGGTCTGCCCCGTCTCTTCCATTGCTGGGTCTCCAGCAAACTGGCTCGTGGGGTGGAGGTTTGTCCAGCTTTGCTCTTGCACACACAGGGGTCCCTCTGAAGTGGCTGCCATGCGACACCTCCTGCACACGTGACATCTGAACCGAACCTCGGGCTGGTCCCAGGTGGTTGTGCCCCCTCCCTTCCAGGTGCGCTCCAAGGAAGACGGTCGGCTCTACGCAGTGAAGCGCTCCATGTCGCCGTTCCGGGGCCCCAAGGACCGGACCCGCAAGCTGGCCGAGGTGGGCGGCCACGAGAAGGTGGGGCAGCACCCGCGCTGCGTGCGGTTGGAACAAGCCTGGGAGGAGGGCGGCATCCTGTACCTACAGACGGAGCTGTGTGGGCCCAGCCTGCAGCAGCACTGCGAGGCCTGGGGCACTGGCCTGCCCGAGGCTCAGGTCTGGGGCTATCTGCGGGACACCCTGCTGGCCCTGGCCCACCTGCACGGCCAGGGCCTGGTCCACCTGGATGTCAAGCCTGCCAACATCTTCCTGGGGCCCCGGGGCCGCTGCAAGCTGGGTGACTTCGGGCTGCTGGTCGAGCTGGGCGCGTCGGGAGCTAGCGAGGCCCAGGAGGGAGACCCCCGCTACATGGCCCCCGAGTTGCTCCAGGGCTCTTACGGGACAGCAGCAGACGTGTTCAGGTGAGGGCTGGGGGGAGGGGGGCTTCCTGGTGGGTGGGGCGTGGTCAGCAGAGGGACACCAGCCCAGCCCAGAGTCAGGAAGACTTGGTCTCAGGCCGGAAGACCCTGCCTCAGGGGCGAGAGGGTCGGGAGGGCTAGGCTGTCTAAGCAGAGAAGCCTTCAGAGCCACCTTACGTGATTCACTGGCTTCCTCACCACACCTCCCTGGGAGAAACCATATTACTCCATTTACAGGGGAACAGACAGCAGATGGAGAGACTTCCTTAAGTCCACAGTTACCAGGCGGTGAAGCTGGGCCTGGACCACGTGCTGGGTTCCAAGGTCCACGCCAGTCACCCCTGCCCTGACTCTGACAGTAGCATCCGGTCACATCAACAGGAGGAGGAGAGCCTCACTGTTAAATCACTGTTAGCAACCAGAGTGCCAGTCCCGTGAGGGCGGGGGCTGCTGGAGGGACTCACCACGGTGGTGTGTGGGCCATGCTGGCCCGGGGGTCCACGCTCCACGAGGTGGTTCCTGTCATCAGCCCCTTCTCCCCCAGGGCCCTGGCTCACAGTGGAGGCTAGCAACCCTCTCCGTGGGGTCAGCCCGGGTCGCTGGGTTTTGCGTCTCACAGCCCTCCCCGCCCCCTTCTGTCCCCGTCCCCCAGCCTAGGCCTCACCATCCTGGAGGTGGCATGCAACATGGAACTGCCCCGCGGTGGGGAGGGCTGGCAGCGGCTGCGTCAGGGCTACCTGCCCCCTGAGTTCACCGCTGGTGAGTCGGGGAGCGAGGGCTGGGGGGCTGTCTGCCGCTGGGAGGACAGGCTCTGGGGGTCGGGGCGGCTGTGGTGACAAGGGGCTGGGAGGCACAAGGCCCCATCCCTGACGTGGCCCTGCCCGGGGACAGGCCTGTCCTCTGAGCTGCGTTCCGTCCTGGTCACGATGCTGGAGCCTGACCCCAATCTGCGGGCCACCGCCGAGGCCCTGCTGGCCCTGCCCGTGCTCAGGCAGCCACGGCCCTGGAGTGTCCTGTGGTTCATGGCCGCCGAGGCCCTCAATCGAGGCTGGGCCCTGTGGCAGGTAAGCGGGGAGGGTGACAGGCCGCCTGGCTCCGCTCCCCGCCCAGGGCCTGCCTGGCCTCCCCTGAGCCCGTGTCCCTGCAGGCCCTGCTTTCCCTGCTCTGCTGGCTCTGGCACGGGCTGGCTCACCCCGCCAGCTGGCTGCAGCCCCCGGGTCCACCGGCCACCCCACCCAGGTCGCCGCCCTGCAGCCTTCTCCTGGACCGCAGCCTCTCCAGCACCTGGGGCGACGACAGCATAGGGTGGGTGAGGACTCGGGAAGGGCGGCTGAGGGCAGGGTAGGGGGGACAGACGTCAGCGCAGTGAACGGGGAACGCACCCACAAACCTGGCCCCCTTCAAGCCCAGGGAAGGAAACCAAGGCTGGTGGGGGTGTGGCCTGGCCTAGTTTGAATGCAGTTCTTTCTAAACTTGGTGCGTGGAGCAGAGTCTGTACTGAGCAGAGAACTGGCAGCCTCCCACCAAGGGTGCTGCCACTCTGGGGGGCTGCTCGGGGCCCACCGCACTGCCGAGAGGCGGGCGGTGCAGCCCCCACCCCCGCAGATGCCACCGGCACCCGAGGACAAGGTGTCATCTTTCCTCTGGGGGACAAAACCCGCAGCGCCTGGCGAGCCCCTTCCCTGGGAGGAGGAATTCCTTAGTCCCAGGTGCCTGGTGGCCAAGTGACAGGCCATAATTAAGAAACTACTGCAAAGGAAACCACATGCTCGGGGCAGGCAGTTCTCAAGAGGGTTCACGCCATCACCCATGGGAGCACATTATAGCAGACAGCCTGCCAGATGAGCTTCATTTACCACAAGGTCATTTCAGAGTCAGCTCAGTCAGAGCCTCCGTGCTCTAAGGGACAGAGGTGGCCTTTGTGTGCGGTCAGGTGGACTTTGGAAACTGTCAAAGCACTTCTTTCAACATCCACCGCACATCCATTGTCTGGCACTGGCCCCCGCCTGCATCAGGCAGATCCCACCAGGGACAGGTGGGCATTGCTGCCCCGGTGCCCTCCCCCGACAGCCTGCTCGTCTTGCCTCCCTTGCAGGCCCTCACTGTCTCCAGAGGCCATCCTGGCCAGGGCTGCCGGCAGCACCTCCACCCCCCGCAGTGGCTCCCCTGCCCCCCGGAGCAGGCACACGCCGAGGTGAGCTGGCCCAGGGTCCTGGGGTGGGAGGGGGCGGCTCTTGGTCCTGAGTCATTTCTCTGTTCTTCCTGTCCCCCAGGGATGCTCTGGACCTGAGTGACATTGACTCAGAGCCCCCTCGGGGCACCTTCCCTGCCTTTGAACCTCGGAACCTCCTCAGCCTGTTTGAGGACTCCCTGGGCCCAAGCTAAGCCCACAGGCCCAGGCTCAGCGCTTTTAACCTCTTAGCCCCTCCCTTCCATCCTCCTGGAGGCTGGGGTCCCTGTGTGGACTCCAGTGGTCCCTTCTGCCTGGCTGTGTCTAATAAAAAGTATTTGAATCTTGGGGCGCACCCAAGCTTGCTTGTGTGGCAACACAGTGCTTCCTGCACCCTTTTATTGACGTCACCTAGGGCCTGAGGCCCCCGGGACAGGCTGAGCTCTGCTGCAAGTCCCCAAACCCCAGGCCAGCAGATGAACTGGGAGCCACCGACTGTGTGGCGCAGAGTTCCTGAGCAGGTGTGTCGCTGGTGGGCAGGCCAGTTGTCAGAGCACTCACTCAAGGTGGAGGGTGGGCCCTCAACCCAGAAGGGCCAGGTCCAGGGCCGGCCAGCGCTTTAGGTCTCTCTGCCAGTTGCTTGGAAAAAGCAGCAGCTGCCCTCCTGCTCCTAGGTCCAGGGGTGAGTCTAGTCCTGATGCCCAGACCCCTCAATCCACAGTCTCTGGACAGAAGGGAAAACCGGCGGGCGAACATCTGGCTGCTGGGAGGGCTGGCCTACAGGGCGGATGGACAGAGGCCATGAAGCAAGGGCAGGAGGCTGGGCAGCCATGAGGAGCCTTATGTGAGGTTCCGAGGAGGCCCAGGATGAGCGATGGCTCTGGGCTGGCAGGATCACAACTATCCCTTTGGCCCAAATCTCAGAAGTCACACAGAGGGTAATCAGAGGCCCAGAAAAAGGAAGGTTGCCTTTCAACCTACGCAGTAAGACTGAGTTCCCTGGAAGAAGGCAGGCAGGGCCACTGGAGCTCCAAGATGTGAGTAGCAGCAGCTAGTCCACAGGGAAGACAGGATGATCGGATGGAGGCCCCTGCCGGGAAGTCCCGTTTGTGAAGCGTCCAGGGAGCCATCCCCTTGCAGGCCAGCAGAAAGCATGGCGCCGTTGGCCCTAGAAGCCTGGGGGCATGGCAGGCGGGAGGTGGCTCAGTCCGGGAGGCAGGTGTGCCGGGCGGCCCAGAGCAGGTCGGGCACGACGCCAGCGTGCAGCTGGAGGATGGAGCCCACGCTGAGCAGGTGCATGATCTGGTGTGAGTTACCCCAGTAGTCGAAGCGGCCGGGTACCCAGCGCTCCGGCAGGCGGGCCACATTCACCAGCCCCCCAAGCAGTGCCAGCGCGTCCATGCGCAAGTAGCAGCGCAGGGAGCCTGGAGCCCCGGAGCCCAGCCCCACTCCCCGGGCCCCGAACACCAGGAGGCGGGCGCCGGCCTGCCAGCCAAAGGCGCGGAGCCGGGCACTGGTGGAGGGGGCGGTGAGGGCCCGCCAGCCAGCCACACCCGACAGCAGGGTGTAGCCCAGCAGGGCAGCGGGGCGCAGCCAGGGCCGGCAGGCCAGGGTGCAGTGGATGATGGGCAGGGCCCCTGCGCAGAGGAGAGAGGCGGGAGAGGGCACGTCAGTCCGTGGGTCCACCTGCCCTCTTGCTTCCAGATTTCCTGACTCCTGCCCTTTCTACCCAGGGCTCACGTGAGTGGACCCGACCCCCAGCTCCCGTCCTTCAAGCCCCCCGCCCCCCACCCCCCGCCCTGCTCACCGAGAGTGTTGATGAGGCAGACCCCACACATATCCAGGGCAAGGAGCCGGGTGTACACAGGGCTGCCCCCTTTGTGGCACATGAAGAGGTGATAGAGCACAGAGCCTGCAGGAGGGGCCAGGCAGGCCACACAGTGTGTGCCCCACAGCCAGCCATCCTCGCCCAGCTGACCCCAGGGCATGGTCATGGGCAGCAGCACCAGGAAGCCCAGCAGGGCCAGTCCTGGGGGAGGGAGACAGTTTTCCATCAGACACCTTCACACTGAGGACAAGGCATGTCCCCAAGGAGGCCCCAGTCCAGAAACAGCACGGCGGGGTGAGCGCAACACAGGTCCAGAGAAGGCTGTGGGCCAGCTGCTGGCCGGCCCTGGGCAAGGGCAGGCCCTGGGCTTCTGATCACTTGATTTAGCAGAGCTCAGAGTAGTTCTGGGAAGGACAGGCCTTTATCCCCACTGACCGGTGAGGAAACTGAGTCCCCGCCCCAGGTGATCCCAGCAAGGAAGCAAGGCAAGCAGCACAGAGCCCAGGCGGCCCTGACCCCGGAGCTGCGCTCACCCTTGTGGCGGGTTCCCTGGAAAGCAGGGGCCCCTACCCCCAAACCTGACTTCAGCAGGAGTCAGAAGGAGGCATGACCCCAAGCTGAATTCTGAACAGGACATGTGGGCGATGCTAACATGCATGCCAGGGCCGCTCTGCCTGTTTCTTCCCAACCCCTGTGCCCTCTCTCCAGAAGTGACCAGACAAATGGAGGGCCTTTCTGTCGTCTTGAGGCGAGGCCAGGGAGGAGGCTGAAAGAACCTGCTCTGTCTCCTACCCCAGCACCTTTTTGGGGAGCTCCATGCCTCCCAGCCCAGGCCTGCAGGGCCACTCCTACCACTTCTTGCAGGCACTTTGGCACTGCCTTCACAGGAGTCAAAGTTCAGCGCCCGCGGGCTGGGGCCGCTGACTGCCCACTCTTGGCAGGGCCTGGCCAGGCCACAGTCCCCCCAGGGAGCAGGTAGGAAGGCCAGGCCCAGCGCACTCAGCGCCCCTCTCTCAGCCGCCTGCCTGCCGCCTGCCGGGGCAGGCCAAGGACGGGCAGGCCTGTGTCAGCACGGACGGTTCGGCGGGGCAGCGGAGGAGGGGCCCCACTCCTGCGAGGGGAGGAAGGAGCCGCCACCAGGCGGAGCCCCGCGGCTGGGCGGCTCGGGCTGGGGCCTCAGGGCCGCCGGGCCTGACTTCCTCTCTTGGGCCCTTCCTCGACACCCATCTCCGGGACGGGTGCTGGCGGGAGACGGTGCCAGGGCGCAGGGATTACGAAGCGGCCGGACACCAAGCTCCTTCTTCCCAGGGCTCAGAAGGATTAAGCAGACTGGGTCCCCCACTCAGCTTCCCTCGCCTGCCCCCGGGGCACCGCCGGGGGAGCAGAAGCGGGTAGCGACGTCCGGGACAATGGCAGCTTTGTCACTGCGGCTCCTGGCCGTGCCAGGGCCGGGACAGCCCAGGACCTGGGCTCTGGGGCTCTCCTCGGCCTTTGGGCCGCGGCCCCAGCGCGGACAGGGCTGCCGCGGATGGGGGGTGCGGGGCGCGGCTCACCGTGCGTGTAGATGTTGCCCAGCTCGTTGTGCATGTAGAAGAGGCTACGAAGGCAGCCCGAGCCGCTGCTGGCCGGCCGGTAGCCAGTGAGCACGAACTTGTTAAACTGCAGGTGAGGCGGCGAGCTGGCCCAGTCCAGCAGGCGCGGCCCGGCCAGGAACGCCATGGTCCGGTCCAGCGCGGTCGGTCCGCGTTCCTCTGCCCCCCGCCTCCCCCCGCCCCGGTCTCCTCAGTGGGCCCGCCGCACTGAGCCTAGTCCCCGCGCCCGCCCACCTCTCAGGGCTCTGTCCGCGCACGCGCTGGCCCGGGGGTCCCGGCCCGCGCCCCTCCCGCGCTGCGCACGCGCGGGCCTGGCGACCCCACGCTGGGGCGGAGGCCGGAGACGAGCGGGGCGCCGGAGCGCAGTGCGGCCCGCTCCGCTGGGGCAGGCGCTCTGTAGGGACAGCTTGTGGCGGCGGCGGCGGCCAGTTTTCTTTTGGCGGCCCGGAGGACGGGCGCGGCCGGACACGGGAGGGGACGCCAGGCTCCGCCCCAGCTGCTCGCCCCCGTCATCCCGCCCAGGGTTTCGCGCTCCGGGCTCCTGACGTTGCAGCTGCGAGGGCCAATGGGCGCGGCCGGCGGGGAGGTTCCTCCAGCGGCCGCTCAGGCCTTCACCCTCTTAAGCATAATTGTTTTCGGTCCCAGTCTCACTTGCATGGGGTGCCTGTTGGATTGGGGCGCGACGTTCTGAGTCCCGGTGGCTCTGCCAGAGTGAGCCGGGAGCCTCGCGTTCCCTTGCAGTGCGCGCCCGGGCTTTCCGCGCGAGCCCCAGAGTCGACCCACCCTTGGGCATTCACCCTCCGGGATACAGCCCCGCCACCCTGCCCCGTCCCCACAGCCCGGGCTCTGTCCAAGGTGCTGCCGGCCCGGGACTTTCGGACGGGTCAGGTCTAGAGCCTGCGCGCCACAACTCCACGGGTGATCGCTCCACTCGCACGACTTCCCCGGAGTGCAGCAAGGCGCGCCAAGGTGGCTGGGCCTCTAAGGGTGTGCCTGACTTGCCCGGTGCCCTCCAGTGAGGACCTGCCCTTGGGCCAGGATTCTCTGAGTGTGTGTGTGTGTGTGTGTGCGCGCGCGCTCCGTCGTGTTTGACTCTTTGCGACCCTTTGGACTGTAACCCGCCAGGCTCCTCTGTCCATGGAATTTTTCAGGCAAGAATACTAGAGTGCGTGGCCATTTCCTCCTCTAGGGCTCTTCCCCACCCAGGGATCAAACCCGCATCTCCTGCGGCTCCTGCATCTCCTGCGGGTTCTTTCCTAGCTGAACCATGAGGGATGGGCGAAATTGTTGAAGCATATTGCACCCCGCTTAGGACGGGCAGGAAACAGTGAAGGAGAAAAGGCAGGAAATAAGGGAAGAAAGTTCAGTATTTCCCCCACCCCCACCCCGCAGGGTTCATTCTAAATCAAATTCACGAAGGTGTCCCTTCTTCCGCCTTCTCCTCCTCCCCTTCTTCAGGATCCCGCCCATTCATCCTTCCGCCTCCTCGGTTTCTCCATCTTCTGCGTCCCAGGCGGTTACATGAAACTCTTCCCGCGGAACGCCCTTAATTTGCACACAACCAGCCTAGGCACAGTACCTCGTTAACATAGCTCCTCCCGCACATAACAATTTCCCGCGCCCTGTACCAAAACAGATCCTTTATTCAAAGTCTGTGGTTGGTCTTATGACCACTTTTGTTGACCTCTTACATTTCACTTTGGGCGGTAGTCCACAACTACCCCAAGCAGGGCTCAAAGACCCGCGAACTGAGGTCTAAGAGGAAGGGAAGCAGAATTCCTCTTGTCCTTTGGCCTTGACCATTCGGACCCCGAGGGTCAGGTCAAGTTCTCAATAATAGTAACAGATGCTTCCTGTCCAACGTCTGGCCTCCTTGAGATGACTAGAGCTGCCCTCAAAGGGGCAGAAGGCCAATGCAGACAGAGGGTGGCATAGGGTCTGCGGAGTCCATCCAGCCGCAGGAGGATCCAGTGGACCCTGGGGGTCCCCAAGTCAGAGAGCAGAGATGAGTGAACGCAGGGAACTCTGGCTGGACGCGCTCAAGGGCCGGTAACTTGAGGTTAAACCCTCAACCTGGGGGTCCCCGGGAGGACAGGGCAGGGCCACCCCTCGAGGCCGGCGGTACCAAACGGCCCAGCTTCTTGTGGGGTCCCGGGAAGGCCTCAACGTTGGGGGCCCTTTACTCGGAGCCAGCCGGCAGCCCCTAGAGAGGGAGCAGACGTCAGCCGAACCCTTCAATCAACCTCACCTCCAGCACCTTGCTTCGCCTGTGATCCCACACGGGACTCCCTTTGTGGACCCAAGGCCTCGTCCCTCAAGAACCCAGGAGTTCCGTCCAGCCCCTTTCCCATCGAGTATTCTAGCGTCCCAGAAGGCCCTCCACGCCCCGGGGGCACAGGGGCGGGGCGACAGGCTCCCCGCCGGCTCCGCCCTCAGGCCCCGCCCCAGAGCGCGCACCGTCCGCGCAGCAGGCGCAGCAGCGACAGCACCAGCAGGAGCAGCACCGAGACGGCCGTCACCGTCGAGAAGACCTGGGCTGCGAGCACACGAGGGCGGTGAGCACGGGGCTTGGAAGGGCCTGACCCCCCAAAACTCGCTCCCGCCTCCCACGCCCGTCTCACCCCCCATCGAGGCCTCTGGAGCACCAGGCCCTGGGCTGCAGCTCACGTTGGCCTCGTCGAGGGGCGCTGCGGAGGTCTGAGTCGAGCCCTCGAGGGGCGCCGGGTCGGCGTCGGCGTCCTGCAGCCCTGCGGAGACGGGTGTGAGACCGGCCAGCTAAGCGGAGGACCCGAGGCGGGGTGGGGAGTGGCCTCACCGCGGTAGGTGAGCGCGAAGCCCTGAGCGTGGCCTCGCGCGTCGCTGCGGAAGCTGAGCCGCAGCGCGGCGGCGCGCAGGCGCAGAGGACCCGGCGGCGGCGGCCGGGCGCCGTCGAAGGCGCGGAGCAGGCTGCCCGAGGCGGCGTCGCGCAGCTCCAGCCGGTCACGCGGGTCGGCCAGCTCGAAGAGGCGGAAGGCGAGCTCCAGCGCGGCGCCCGGAGGGGCCAGCACCCAGCTACAGTTACGATCCGGCCCGTACTCGTCCGGGAAGTCCGGGGAGTAGATGACACCCTGGGGTGCGGTCCAGTTCCCCTGGCAGGAGCCCACGGACACTGTGGGCGGGGCCGGCGGTCAGAACCCGGAGGCCCGCGGGCTCCTCCTTCACGGGGGCGGGGCTCTATGTAGAAGCCCCGCCCCTTTCCCCTTGGCCCGGATCACCGGACCCTCTTCCATCCCAAGTTCAGCCCTGTTAGTTCCGTCCTCCAGCCCCATCCAACCCGTTCTAGTCAAACCATTAGTCCCCTCCTCTAGTTTTTCCTGGTGGCCCAGATGGTAAAGAATCTGCCTGCAATGCAGGAGACCAGGGTTCGATCCCTAGTTTGGGAAGGTCTCCTGGAGAAGGAAACGGCAATTCACTCCAGTATTCTTGCCTGGAGAATCTCATGGACAGAGGAACCTGGCAGGCCACAGTCCATGGGGTCACAAAGAGTCGGACACGACTGAGTGACTAACAACAACAACTAGTCTTGATCTCAAACCAACTTACCAGGCTCCTCTGTCCAAGGGATTTTCCAGGCAAGAGTACTGGAGTGGGTTGCCATGTCCTTCTCCATCCTTCCTCTAGTCCAACCCCTTCTAATCAAGCCATTAGTCCCCTCCTCTAGTCTTGTCCTCAAACAATTCCTTCATCTAGTCCCGCCTGAGCCCCAGACCCCTGACCCCCAGGTTCAACCCAGTCCCCTCTTCGGTCCAGTCCTCAACCTAATCCCTTAATCAGGCCCTGTCCTCAACCCATGCCTTCCCTTCCCAGATACCTCCCCCTGTCACTCTTCCCCTCACCCAGGCCCCTCATCCCTGACCACTCCTCACCTTCATAGATGCCCAGGCGCCCATCACCACCACACAGCTGGCCCGGGTGGCCGAAGCAGATCTGGTCACAATCGGTGGCAGGAGCTGGGCGTCCTCGGGTCAGGTCACTTTCAGAGCCACAGAAACAGGCGTAGCCGGCCTCCACGCCCGCCAACTGGGAGCACAGACTGGGTGACCCCCCAGACAGGGGCTGGGGGTGGGGGTGGGGTGGTGGGAGCCAGGGATCGGGGTTGGAAGTGGGAATCAGGGCTGGAGGTTCAGAAATCAGCGTCAAGGTTTGGCCTCAGAGTTGGATGTTAATTTGGGTTCTGAGGTCAAGGTCAGGGGTCACTGGTCTGGGCAGGTGGGCAGTACCTGGTAGCCCTTCATGCGGCAGAAGCGAAGGCACACCTGGACTGTGAGCTTTGTTGAGGTGCCGCTGGGCCCGCTGAGGGCTGGAGGTGCCCCAGAGTCCATGAAGCAGCCCAGGTACCCAGGCACTGAGGGGGCAGCAGGGTCAGGCTCAGTGTGGGGCCTGCAAAATCGAACTCCACCCGGGCAGCCCTGCCGTCCCCATTGTCCAGCCCGGCCCGCTCACTGTGACACGTGGGGATATCGCAGTAGCGCCAGTAAATGCCCTCCTCTGTCTCGGCCACGTAGCACCATGGTTGCACGTCACCATCTGGGTTACTGCAGGCCCAGGAGAAATGGTTGGGATATTGTCGTCCCAAGAACCATGAATTTCAGGCCCTGACCCACAGCTTATTCGCAGAATGGCCACTGTGTGTGTTAGAGTAAATCCTGGTTTGCCCACCAGAATGGATGTCGACTTCCCAGTGCATGGTGGGAAGTCATTAAAGGGGCCCTGGGGGGCTGATTTTAGGTCTTCAGCTGTTGCTCGGACATGACTTCATGTATGAGGACTTCGAGGCCATTTGTGTTCACCCCCCACTCAGCCCTGGGCCTCAGCCACTGTCCCTTGTTTTGGAACCCTGCTTTAAAGCAGACGTGATGAGCCCTAAGCTTTGTGGTTCAGCAGGGAAGTGCCCTCCCACTTAGCTCAGTCCCCGCCGCTTCAGACCACAGCTATGGCTTTGAACCCCCAATCCCTCGGTCACCGCTAGGAGACGTCTCTCAAAGGAGCTGAACGCTAAGAGCCCGGCCCTCACTCTAGAGCTTGCCCTCTGACTAGGCCCCATCCTCATGGGCGCCTTGGTGCCCAGGTCTGACCTGAGGCTCTGCAAAAAGTTGGACTCCTAAGGCCTGACCCAGGTCAGAAAAGGTTTCCACTCATTGCTTAGGCCCCGCCCTTAGGTTCTTAAGCCGATTCATTGGAAAAGATCTTGATGCTGGGAAAGATTGAGAGCAGAAAGGGGCGACAGAAGATGAGATGGTTGGATGGTATCATCGACTCAGTGGACGGGAGTTTGAGCAAACTCCGGGAGATAGCGAGGGACAGGGAAGCCTGGTGTGCTGCAGCCGATGGGGTCCCAAAGAGTCAGACCTGACAGCGAATGAACAATCAGGCCCTCCGGATGGCTCCTGGGCCCGCCCAGCGGAGACCTCCGCTCCGCCCACGCCGCGGCCCGGCCCCAGGACAACGCCCTCAACCCTGCACCGGCCCCGCCC